AAATTTTAAAATATGTTTTAAAATTAGTTGTCCACCTGACGAATACCTGTTTAGGCTGAGAAATAGCCCCCTAAGTGAGGTTCAAGACACACTTCTAGACGAGTAGCGGGTTCTATACATTCGGCTGACCGAGTAGCCTTCGTGGACCCTCGAGTACATATACATATCTCATCTGAATCTTCTTTTTGTTTTATCGAAGTTTTTTTGGGACAGGGCACTCGTGTTACTTTTCCTTCCTTCTAGATTTTCCCCGGAAGTTTTGAGGATTTTCTTTTACTTGAGTCTTTTTCGTTGATTTTCTCGAGTTTTCTGCTTTTCCTCGGGTTTCCTAGACGACATTTCTTTCGGACTTTTGAGCTGCATTTAGGTTTGCTATGCTTAAGGAACATCGGATCTTACGGGCGTACAAGTTTGCTTTACATTTTACAGCACTTAATTTTCCTGTTTCTACCTACTACCGTACTGTACAGCATGTTACACTGGTCCTGTTTTCTACCTGCTACTGCTCTTCCTGTAAAGCATGTTACACTTTTCCTTTTTCTACCTGCTACCGTTCTTCATATATAACATGTTATACTGCTCCTGTTTTGCCTACTATTGTTCCACGTGCATTCTATTGTTTTGTTCCTGTATTGGACGTTTTATATTATATAACTCCAAGCATGTTTCCTTTTTGCATAGGATGTTTAGAGGACTACAACCATAGGGCCGTTTGATTTAACACTATAACTGGACACCCTAGAAAACTTAAACTCGTCACGTCGGTGAGCTTGGAGCTAACGCAGTGGGCAGCACGACCATCTTCAACAGCAAAACATGTCTTCTCCAGCAAAACTATTTCTTTTCCTAGAAATTAAACAACAATCCATAGGATTTCAAGGTTGTTTGTCTAGCGCAGCATAAATCCTCCACCATTTTCTTTAGACATTCATATAGCTCTGTTGTACGATTTAAGCCCTAACTCGTTCTAGGTTCCGAGGTTGTCGTCCGATACGACATAAGCCCTCATATCTTCTAGGCAATTTGTATGACCCTGTCAAGCAAATATAAACCCTAATTAAATAAAATTGGCAGGATGAAACACTTTAATAATTTCTTCTCAAAACTGGAGCCAAATCATAGGATAAACTGGGAAGCCACCGAGGTTCGCCTCCGGGTCTGTGGCCACCCTTAATTTCTCTTCATTTGGATTCTTCAACATTGTTCCAGGTTCAAGCATTTCCCCTTTCACACATCTTTGTCCGATTTCGTTGAAAAGTTCTATCCCTTTGCCTTCTTTGAAGATGATATCCCCTGATTTCTATGATTTCCCCCTGATTTCTATCGAGAGTTTTCTTAGGTGACTTCGATCATTTAAGATATAATTAACTATAGGGGTTTGCCTTATAGGAAGTTTTTCCGAACCCAGCCTAAAATAAACTCTATTTAATTCTTTGTATTAAATAGGGGAACTTGTCGACGAATAAAACGGTTTCGCAGACCAAACGGATGTCATATATTTTTTAGTTTATTTGATTGAGCCTCATCCTCAAGTCTTGTGTTTATCCCTCGGGACAAATACAAGATTTGAGGTAGAGTGTTCTTTTATTTAAACTGCAAAAAATATGAGGTCAGTTTGATTTTATATTTTTCTAAAATTATATATATATGTGTAATTTAAAACGTCCTTCCGAAGCGGTCGACGGGACTTCACTTCCAGCGACCGACAGCTTCTTACGGGCGACCTCCACAAAACAACTTTTACTTTTTCTCTTTAGCAGCCGACACACCAGAAGATGAATAAAGGGGATAACTCATAAGTACTAGTCTTCCTCACCCAAACATTCAGGTAAATGCGGACTCGCGTTTTAGTTGGAGCAACTTTGTTTCTATAAGTTGTCTTCTATCTGCTCAGAATTTTTATTCCTTCTAGTGTACACACAGAGTTCTTTGTTGTGGACTTCAGATTGGATTAGTTGGATATTCTAAAAAAGAGTAGGAGAGTTAAATGAAAGAGAAGTAGATGGGTTTGCTAAGTGTTATCCAGTGCATCCCAAAATTGTTGATTATTTGCCCTCACCCCCGAAATATTATATTTGAGATAGTATGATTGGTTTTTAAAAGAATGACATTCATAGAGTTGTAGTATGTTCTGGTAATACGAGAGTAACACTTATACGCCTTCTCGTTGAAAACATGCCCAAAAAAATATACGATGGATTTAGAGTCAAGTTTGGTGTGGGTTAGAGAATGAATATGAATAAAGGATACACACCCAAAGATTTTAAGTGGTATAGTAGGCGAGAAAGCTTGGATATGTGAATAGGTAACCATCAAAACATGAAGTGGTGTTTTGAAGTTAAGTACTAGGCTGGGCATTCAATTGATAAGATTTGTTGCAATTAGAACTACTTCCACCCAAAAGTATTTTAGAATTTGATGAGAAATCATAATTGAGCGGGATACCACATATAAATGCATGTTCTTTTCCTCAACTATCTCATTTTGTTGTGGGGTATCAATATATGAAGTCAAAATATTTCCTTGCATTACCAATTTTGAGAATATGAACTTTACATTTAAAGAGTTTGAATCATCTCATGGAAGGTTTGAAAGATATAGGTTGTTTCAGATTTTTCTTTCATTAGAAATACTCAAATAGTTCTAGTATGATTGTCAATAAATGAGACAAAGCATCTAGCCCCACTTAGAATTTTCATTTTTGAATGTCCCAAAATATCATTGTAGTAATGAAAAAAGAATATGAGGATTTATATTGAATCATGGAATAAATATTTCTAGTGTGTTTAGCAAGTTGACAAGTTTCACATTGAAAAAAATTATGTTTATTTATTGAAAAATAAATGTGGATATAACTTAGCAAAATAATTGAAACTAGAATGACCTAGACGACAATGTCAAAACATGACCGATTTTTCAACAGACAATAACTCAAAATACTCGGAAATTTGAGGGATTTATGACGATAGGATCAGTTGAGTTTAGAGAGAAATTTTCTGTAAGTATAAGTCTTGATGCATTTCAGCACTGTCAATCACCTTTCTCGATTACATCATCTGAAATTCATAAAAGCTTGTAAAGAATTTAGTTATATATTTTATATAAAGAATAAACTTACTGATTGAAATTAAATTGCAGCACAATTGTGAAACATATAGAATAGAGAAAAGAGTAATATCCTGAGAGAGCTCCGCATCTCATTTCCCAACAATGTTTGAGTGGGATATGTCTGCAAGTCTTACCAATCCAAATGTAAAGTTTTTTGGTAGTTGACAAGTGCATTGATGTCTGGTCATGTGATCTAAGACTACACAATCTATAATCGAAGTTCTGAATTTTTCATTACTGGTAAGATAGAAGAATGATCTGTTAACTTGGTGTGTCACGAGGTTGGTGTGCTGCTCTGAATTAAATCCAAGGAATTTCTTCAGTGCTTCAAGTTGTTCCTTGGTGAATTGTTCTTTCGATCCTTCGGATATGGTAGCCGAATTTGCCTTTTTCTCTTAATCCTTCCTTTCATGCCCAGGTTTCGGCCGGCTAGCTTTCCATAGAGTTTCCAACATTAATCATTGATATTTTCAAGCTTCTGGCAGTTATCAAATGTGGGACGGCTCTTTTTGACCTTTAAACCATATGAATAATTATGGATGTGCGGAGCTTAACTTTCAGTGCTTGGTGAACTCTCATTTTTTATTAGCAACAGCTTCTTCCTGCTCTCTTCTCTGTTGATTTAGCAAAGGCTTCACGGCCAATTCCTGAGATAGAAGAGATCCAAAGGCAGAGGAATACAGAGAAGAGCCTGTTGCAGGAAAATTCCAACAGCAAGGAGGAGTTCCAGCAGACAAGGACCCGCAGCAGATAAATTTCAGCGGCAGGGATGACTTCTGGCAGCTCAGACCAGAGGAAGGACAACAGGGGAGCTTATGACCTGCATGGAGAGATTCTGAAGAGAAACAACAACCTGCAAAAAGAGTATCGACAACATAGAAGAGGACTAGCTACAGGAAAGAGGAGATTTCCGGCAGCTTGCAGTGGTTCCGGCGACTATTGGAGGAGTTTCTGCGACTGAAATTTCAGGTGCTGCAAAGAAGGATTGCCTACAAGAAAGAGTCCATGCTACTGCAAATAAAGATTGCCTGCAGGGAATAGTCTAGTTGTTGCGGAGAGTCTGCAACCTACAGGGGTTTTGGCAGCCAGCAAGCTGGTGGAGAAATTGGAGGGGGTCTGCAGGGAAGCTAGGCTTTAGGCTCTGATATCATGTTTAATTTTGAAGCCGGTAGGACTTATGACTAAAAATTTTGAACCACCTTTTTCTATTGTGCTATATCTCAAATTTTAAAAATAAATTAACTGAGTTATGAACTTATACTTCTATCATGTTAAATCCATCGAAACTTTACATTTACTCCTAGAAGTTTTCATTGTTAAAATACTTTGTGTTTTTTGTGGTTGATTTATAATAACAATGATTGAATGCTATGGATATTATCTATTGTTGCTTTTTGCATTTTGAGCAAGAAAAAATTGTTTGCATTAATAAGAATTTATATAAGGTATTGAGATGATAATCTTACCAATACATTTTAGTAAAAATATCATACTCAACATTTTATACTAAACCATTACATTTATTTTATCAACAATCAAATAGCTCTAAGAAATTACAATAAATTGCATTTAATTTACTTAGATGAAAATAATAGGTTCTAAGTTAGACCACATAAAACTTGAAGATCAACATAAGCCAAGCATAAAGCATTTCAAAAGCTCTTTAGAAGTCCATAAGGCAAATTAGAGACTTAGATAAAGCGGTCATTTGAAGATGACAATAAGAACATTTGAAGAAAAAAAACATTAAACTTTAACCTCTTTCCTCCCAAAGCAAAAAAAATTCAGAGAAAAGACATGTAAGCATGCAGCCAAATAAATATATAAACAATATAAAATATGTAGTGCAAAAAAAAGATGAATAAAATAATTTAAAAGAAAAGGACTTATACCTCTATATACATGGCTATAGAAGTTTTGTTGGAACCCTTGGGCTCTTTCAGACATGTTATAGCTTCAATTATAAAATCATCCATCCTGCAAGTGAGAAAAATACCTTCAACATAAGTGATCAAGTAAATTTGTTAAAACAAAAGAGATATTTACAGTACCATAAAGAACTAGAAACTTCCAGCAAAAAAACTCACAAAAAAGCTAAGAACATTACATGATAATTTTAAAAAATGAAAGTTTACTGGAGAACCTAAGTAAAACTCAAAGCATGGAAACATTTTAATTGAAGATCCATTAGCAGGATATGTGGTTATGAATATTGTTTGAACATAAAATTATTAAGTCAATTGATTTTTGCTTCTGATTTGTTATCCACCCACAGAAGATAAATGGATACGTTAAACAAAACAAACATTATTGAAAATTAAGACAAAACTATGGTATTCACTTGCCATAAATGTAATTCATCGAGCTTTTAGGCAAAGCACATTAATTAAGCTTTCCTTGGCAAACACATGTAACGATTAGCTACCCTCCAACTATCATGAACCAAAAATCATTGAAGTTTATTTTCCACTACATAATCTTCCATGACAGCTACCTTTACAATCATTCTCAGATAATCATATCTCAATCCATCATATCAATTACTATCTCATGCCATTCTTAGCATTCTAATTTCTATTACAGTCAACCTCAGTATCATTGACTTTTTGTCAACCAACACCCAGATCCATATTAAACGGTCATACTACTAATAATTTTACAGAATTTAGCTTAACTATCATGATACTCTCTTGATGCATGGTCCTAAGACATTTCTGCATCTCAACATAAATTGATTAGGCTTGGAATTTTTATGCTCATCAAGATCCCTATTCTTCAACCCAATATACTTAAACTTTCACATCATAGTGGAATTTGATATTCCAACATAAATTAGACATATATTCACCCTCTGTTCGATAGGTGATAAGCTCCTTATTTTCTAACATTTTTCAATTGCTTTAACATCCAACTTATATCTAAAGAGGTCTCTCCTATTATAAACATTACAAAAAAAAAGTATGCTCAATGTAAGAAGCTTCAACCAATGTTGACCAAGGGTTGACACATGCAAGTTTGTCCTTGTATTACAGAGAGATTATTTCCTGCAACTCAATTTGTAATCTATAGGCCATAGTATAGGCAACCTAACAATTAACCTAGGCTTGTCGTCTTATATCCATATGATTTGCAAATAGAACAAATTATGTTCTTAGTTTGAATATCCATTTCAGTCATCTTCATGATCAATACAAAATGAAACAAATGCAATGTTTGACAGTTCTAGTATGATAATAAACTTTTTAATCATTTAATAACTACTTATAAAATAAGTCAATGATTCATCGTACAAATGTTTATTCTATTGAGCCAATTTAATTTCTTTGGTGCATGTATGGTAAGAACCATTCACAAACCCTAACATCCCAAATCCAAGGTTTTGGGGGTCTAGTAATTTTGTACTCGTGTTGTTTGTAATGCTTATAATGGTGAGGAAATAGGAAGGAACAATAAAATGATAGGAAAAAAGAAAAACTCCAAAAATAAAAATAAAAAAACAAATACAACTTAGGAATTTCCCATGTAATGATGCATTAAAAACACTAACTTAAAAACGGATCTCTTCAATCCAGCTGTCTGCACTACTTCACTTGAAATTTCAAGAGGTTTGTAATCAATGAGTTCGCGATCAACATTCTCAACTTCTGTACCAAGAGCCAAGGAGTTGTCATCATGTTTAAGAATAGTTCTGCTCTTTTTCAATGCTACCCTAGCCTTCTCTCGAGAACTCCATCCATTTACAGTCACACGCATGTTTCTCCATTTATCCTGATCAAAATCAACAATGAGTAAGAGACACTAAAATGAAATTATTTACAAATCACACTGAAATAATAAATTTGTAAAGATAACAATACTCATATGCATGTTACATGCTAGTTTTAACTATAAACGCGCTCCTTGTAAGAGAATATGAAGTTAGTGCCAACTGATTAGAAGACGAATAGTAGAAATAAAATGATATTTATAGAAGAAGTTCAAAATGACTTGTGAAAACATTCAATGACTAAACAAAGCTAGGCAGAAATGGATAAGGCTGGTGAAGATGATGCCAAACAAAATTCCTTCAACATTGGAGCGTGATTGGAAGAAAGTTATGCTATACTTTAGATCTAAAGCAATCTATGTAAGCAAGATAACTAAATTTATTGAACAAATCAAGAAAGAAAAAATTACACCTTGAGATCAACATTTGAGCGCAAAAACAATATATCGCTAAACTCTGGGTCCCTCAATATTGTTCGCCAATTGCCCGAGCCATGCTTGACAACTCCAGCTTTAAGTGCAAACTCCTCCTCAGCTGTCCATTTCTGTTTTGGAGCACCCATTAAGAATCACAGGGACCTTTCAAAAAGCATGAGCAGTAACTTCCATTAGAAACATTTATCATAAAATTAAAAGGTTCAAAAACACATGAAAATAGGCAAGGTCCATGCGCCATTAATTAATGACACGAAGCATCAAGGAAGCCTGCTATTATATACTTCCATATCTAAGATAATATGTAAATTGGGATGCAACATCCCATCATCATTAGCATTACCCTAGCAATTTTGGCTTTGGTTTATTGCATAATTGCACAATACAAATGTTGATGTTCTATGGAGATCTCTAGGATTAACACCAAAAACACTAAGTGAGAAAAAAATGGGCTCAAGAGTAACCATAGAGCTTATCCAGATGCAAAATTCATACAAAACCCAATTAGCTGGTGCAGTGATTACAGATTTTTAAGAAAACTAACCGACAATGAGTAAGAATAGAGTAGTAAAATGGAAAAGAACTGTAAGATTAGGATCTTACCAAAAACGGTTCAGGCTAATAAAATATTGTTGCAAGCATTTTCAAGAGTCGAAAACAGAACTTTAACAGTTAAAAATTCAGCAGTGATGATAATTAAAAAAAAAAAACTACAGATGAGGAAAACGATGCGAAAATTATAACAGTATGTCAACCGCAAAATTTCTATTCAAAGATAGTGAACAATGGAATTCTGAAGAATAAAATAAAGTGCGAGAATGAAAATAGGCTAAATTACCTACCGAAGTGACGGAGTTCGTTTGATCAGCGCGGAGGATTGAAACTTAACTCTAGCCTCGGATATCACTCAATCTATACGAAGCCAAAAATGACAACACTGAAATACTAATAATCAAGTCTACCGATGGCAAAGCGAATTGCGCGGCCGCCAAAGGCCACGAATATACAAGGTTTAAATCAACAGAGGGATGAGAGAGGGTGGTTCGTTGCTTAAAAGCTCGAAAGACCTGGGCAAGGCGGGGGAAAGTAAGAAAGCCCATTAGGCAAGGGTTAGGGTTAGGGTTAGGGTTAGGGTTAGCGTTTGGATTAAGGTTGTTTTCTCTCGGACATACTCACTCTAGTCTTAAAATTTCCCGCAAGGAATTTGTAGTGCACTAGTTAGGGCTGGAGTCCAGCTGGCTATATCATTGGTTGTATTTTGCTTGATATTATTATAGTATGTTTGGCTTGAACTTATATTAAATTTTTATACATCGTTTCAAGTTTCTTATTTAAATTTTTTAATATTTGAATTTAATTTGTACTTGATTTATTTATGAGAAGTGAACATGCATTTAAATGAGTTAATAAACGAACTAAAAATTTAAACGAGCATCAAAATTTTGATAGAAAAAGTTAATAAATAATTTTACAAATTGTAAGACAAGTGTTGCTTTATTGATTAAAATCTTTGAACCTTACAATATCTTAAATCTCATTTTCCCTCTATTTGAACAAAAATCTTAGGAATTATTTAGTAGAATGAATTATCATTTAAGCATGATTTAACATAAATCCTACCAAACAACAAAAATAAAAACTTTAAAACCTACGTAAACTCAATATCAAATATTTATAGAACATATATGATATAAGTTAACATCGAGCTATTAACAAACAAGTTAATATTCTAGTTAATTAAATTTTATTTAAATAATATATCATATATTATACGAGTTATCATTGAGCTTAATATTGAGTGTTTAACAAGTTACTTGTTGAATAACAAACGAGTTTGTTTGTGAATATAAATGAGAAGTCTGACTATTTAAGCATGTTTAATTAATTTAAGCTTCGAGCTTTTAAAAATTAATCAAGTTTATTTATTTACTAATTTGAACGAGCACGATCGAGTCTTAATCGAGTTGAGTTCGAGTTGTTCATTAAATGCATTGGTTCATTTACAACCCTATGCAGGTTAAAAAGAACATTAACAATTTTTTTTATTTATTTACTTATTTATTTGCATGCATTTACGCAATTGAAAGGGTATTAAGACCTAAGCTTGGAGGAGGATCAATGAGAGGAGCTAAAGTCCAATGTTCTACACCAAATATCCAACAAATGTTTCCCGCTCTTGTCATTTCTAATCATCGTTGACCACTGCTCGCTGGCTGTAGTTGATCGCCACCAGCCACCCACTGCATGTTGCAAAGTAACCAAACATCTTGTTGAATAACAACAAATGTTGTAGAGCGCCGAAACACCTTGCTGAACAACGACCAAAGTTGCATAATAACAAAACTGTGCAGAGTAACGACCAATGTTGTAGAGTGATGAAACACTATGCGGAGTAGTGACTAACATCGATGAAGAGTAGAGATCCTGAACACCATGCTAGGGCGAACTTTGAAGGTGGTGTACCTTAGTTCCGGCAATTGCAACCACTCTCGATCGTTGTGCAGCGAGTCTTCCGTATACAAAGCCTTGGACCTTGTTTTCATCAAGTTATAGTTGATTATTTTTGACTGGATTGGACCTTATAGTTTTTTTTCCTTTCGAGGTTATCCACATAAAACTTTTGATATCTCTACTTGTCCTATTTATTCTCTAAGTGTGGGCTAAATTTTTGTGCAACGCTAAGACGCTAATTAATCACCTTACAGTCGCAAATCTTCTAGCGCATCAAGTATATTTAGTAATTTAACATCACAGCATCAAGAACTGGATAAGAGCTTTTGCCTAGCCCACTGAGGGCTTGATAAGGTTAGATGTAACTCCACAATTATATGGTAATTCATTCCGATTCATTCATAGTCAAGGGGCGAACAATTGTCCCCCCAGGATATGAAATTTTAATTAAAAGGGTTGGGCAATTAGTTATTTGCCTCCCCTCAAAAACCTTTTTGCCCACAGCCCTCAATCAAACCCTTAGCCTTCACCTGCAACCCACACTTGCAGCCTTCATGCAGTGGTTCACCTTTGAGGCTTCTCTAGTAGCCCTTTAACCTCCCGTCTCTCCATCCCCCTTTGTTGCATTTCACCTCAAATTTTCCATTCTTTAGGCTACGTTTGAAGGAACTTCACCTTTCGGTGAAACTCCTTTAAAACACATGTCGGTGGAATAGAGGTAGGCATCCGTATTTCACAACGGCCAAAAAATGTTGTTTTTGCGGACTAGTGTCGATGGACGTTGGAGAAATGATACTTCACCAAATCACACATTGTGGCTTGTAGTATTTCTGTTAAAAGAAAAGGAGCCGGGAAGCCACCCTAAAGGAAGCCTTAGACGCATCTACCTTTTTTATTTTTGGTAGATTTACATATATACCACTCAATTTCTATGTATTTAGATATCTAATGCCCTTCAATCTTTGAGTATATATGCTACCATAACTATGCATGACAAAGTCTATTTTACTTCTAAAAAAAATTAAAATTGTGATATTCTTAATGTGATACGAAAGATTTGGGTGGTATAAAATATAAAAAGGTAAAGTTTAGTCTTATACTTGTAAATTCATAGGAATTAAGCTTATGTATGTATATACCATTATTTTTCCTATCTTTACTTCTTCAATTTTCTTGTTTTTACGCTTGAGAAGATATAGTAGTAACGATAGAAAATTGATGTTTCTGTTTATTTTTTTCTTTCATTGTATATTTTACGTGGCAACATTAAAACTTATAGAAGCTCAACCTTGTTTTTAACCGAATCAAACCCAATTATTTTAGGTTTAATGCTTATGTTGTGAGATAGATTTTTGTTCAGCATGCTTGAAATGGACAAAATCATTTTATTTTATCAAGTTGCAAAAATTATAGATAGGGAATGTATGTTTTAATAATCTAATAGGATGTTAATTATCCCTGAATTGAAAATCTATAGTTTATAAGTATTTAATACGTGAATATTATTTTATAATTGTATTTAAAAGTATTGAAATTATAATTACATATAGAGCGTTGAAGTCATCCGGCATAGTTATACAGATAAAAGGTACAGTTTATAGATATCCTTAAAGTCAAAGCCTAAAGCTACAACAACGAGATAAAACCAAAAGGGGATTAGGCAATTCGTAAGCAGAGGCGTACATGCCAATGTCTGCATGGTCTTTCCCTGTCCTTCCTGTCAACAAATCACTGCCATATTTCTTCAACGACCTCAGAGCTTAACATAAAGAATTGTCTGAAGCTGTCCAAAAAATGTAAGAAAAAGGTATCAGACAATGGCTATGAGTTGGAAGCAGAGGCTCCAGCGTAGCCCAAGCCTATTGCAATGAAAGCAAAGGCTTGAAGGAAAAGATATATGTAGTAGTAATTCTTTCCAAAGACAACGTTATAGGAAGCACAAAAGAGGAGAAAAACAGCGAATCCAAGCTCCGTAAAGTTGATTCTGAGATGCAAGAAAATGATAATAAGATCACATACTTCTTCATCTGAAACCTGAAACATAAAGCAGGAATGCTGTTTACCTATCTTTAAATTTTGTTGAGGTTGCTTCAGGCTTGTTGTCCTCAGGATTTCCTTTGGAAGATTCTCCCAACTTCTCTGTTACAACCCATTCATTCACATTTCCCATCTCCAATAGGCCTATCAAAGTTGCCTTGATTCTGTGAAAGGACATGACATTCTCGAACAGAACCCAGAATGGCATTATATGAATAAAACTGACAAAAAAGTGTGATATAGTGAGACTAGCAAATCCCATAATGTTCAATTTGGCCACAGGTGAGATCTCGTAGGTTCATGTATACATATTACGTAATCTTCAGTTATTGGTATAAATTAGAGTGAAATCATCAATTAACAATTTTTAAAGTATTTTTTGGACTATACATATAGATATCAAAATGTTAGGACTGATGATGACTTCGAAATTGATAAAAACAGAAATAGCATAATGGCATTAATAATTCTAAAAAAACGATGAAGCATTTAAGCAACATAGATTCAGACAAAGAACACCACATATGATAGATAACACTCCAAAATAAATAACACTACCAGACATCTGAACTGTGCCATTATAAAAATAAAACAAACCAACAAGGGGATCGAGAATAAAACTTTTCAATGTGTAATTAGAAGCTAGATCTGAAAAAGAAATGAATACAGCGGGACAACATAGATGTTTTATACCGTGGATTTCTCAAGGCATTGAGAATGGTGATGGCAGTTGGAATGTACATCACTCCCCATAAGGGAATGCTGACCTCCGGTATGAGAACAGAGGCTGGAACCACGACGGAATAGAATAGAAATGTGACTATGTGGGTTATAATCTTGCGCACAAAGAAAAAGCTGTAAAGCACATAAATCTTCCTCCATATTGAGACATTCTGCACCATGGAGGATTTTGAGGAGGTTACTACATCAGCAAGAGTAAAGCATGTCCTTAAAATACAACTTCATAAGTTTAATGAACATACTGCACCTTAGCAATCAAAATATCAAATGCCACCTTTCTAAATAAGTTTGCAGCTCCGCATGTCCATCGGTGTTGCTGGTGCCGGTATGCCTTGAAAGTGCACGGTAATTCACTCTGGACCTGCATTAGTACCCAAGTCGGTAATATTGAATTGAACTATCATGGCATGTCCTAGTTAGAAACAATCATCAAATATTAGCTTTCTATAGAATATAATGCCAGAATGAAGTAATCAAATAGCAAGTATATTTTAATTATGGAAATATGACTCCCCATAGATTCTCAAATGAATAACTTCTACCATACAAATGACATAAATGTTTGCATTTCCGTCTGAGATTAAGGTTGACAGCAGAGTGCCATCACTTTAACCAAGCATGGTAAACATGCTCTCTTGCAAAAAGTTATAGGTTGTATGCCTTGATAAGAAAGATTTAGCATTGATACCTTGATGTCACCAATATATAAGAATTTCCAACCTTTGAGGCCTGCCCTCACCGCCAAATCCATGTCCTCCACAGTAGTTCGATCATTCCAACCGCCCGCTTCTTCAATAGCAGGTATTCGCCACACACCAGCAGTTCCTAGACTCAATGAAAAGTAATTTGAGGTGACGCCTTAAGCCACATCAATACTGAAAAGATCTTTATCTTAATGTAACTTTCAACAAATGCAGATAAAGATGTGCTGTCTTAAAGGCAATTCAATCAAACTTCGAAGATACTGTAAGAAAAAGGTGTACACAGTTCAAACCTACAACAATAATATGTTAAAGCCTGTTACACCAACTAATTAGATTACAAAATATCTGTGTCAAAGTCTGAGCACAGCTTCACAATAGTGATAGCCTTTAATAAACTGCATTTTTATCGTCAATTAGCAACCTTTTGCTTTTAGAATGACAAACTATTCACCATTTCTAGGCATGTAATTTAGCGTGCCTTAGAATAATGAGCATAAGGAATAAAGCTAATGATGATTATGATAATGATGTTATAATAAATACAGATTACCGTTGAAACCGAAGAAGGCAAAGGTTGATGAACCCGCCTCTTGCTCCACCTTGAAATGATAATCAAGAGATATCCTTTGTATCCTTGTCATCAGGCACTCACTGTAATTAACTGCAAAATGGTCCGGCAAATGCGACAGTCAGCAACTTCCTGTCAATTGAGGAGTAAATAAATCAGAGCTAATACATGCATCTATTCACCGGGAAGTCATTACTTTCAAAAATGTTTAACAGACTTATAGAGTATTGGTATGTACTACACAAAATGGTTTACTAAAAGAAAGAGCAAAGTTTTGGGAAAGCAGTACATCCGCGCATGGATAAAAGATAGCATCTGTGAAAATTACTGAAGGCAAAAACAATAGATAAAGGATTACCGATTAAATCTAGTTCAATATGCCCCTGTTAATGTTTTGACTTCAGTAAGTGATTTCATGAGAGAAGTAATAGATAAATAGATATGCATGATCAAGTATCCATAAAATAAAATAAAACATACAATCAAATTTCTATAATACTGTGCGAACCTTTCAATATTAATTTAATAGGAATAATAACGAACATGATAGATATAATCTCTAAAATAGGAAGAATTAGTACTAACTCAAGCGGAGAGAGTGGATTGCATCCATAAACAGTCTAAAAAGTTGCGCGTCTCGTAGTCTGGTTACAAACCTACTATAGGCAAATTTGGCATGGGCTAGGATCAGGTCCGACCGCTTAATTTTCTTCCCTACAAAGCATATTAGAAGGTTCCCAGAGCCTGTTCATCATCTTCGTCAGACCAACCGTCTGTAGATGAGCTGCTGAGCTGAATTGAAGCATAGTGTCAAGCTTTCCCATAAGATCCTCCAGAAGTGAATAAAAAATTTCACGTCTCTGTCAAAAGTAATGGTCCTAGATATCTCGTGTGTTTCACGCCCTCCCTAAAGTACAAGTTAGTTATATGTGATGCACCCAACGTTCAGAGGCAATGTAAAAAAATTAGTCATATTTGAGAATCTATCCACCACAACCATCACAGAAATCCTTGTTTTGTTGTGACCTTGAAAAACCAACACAAAATTCATGCTAACATCTATGTGATGCACCCAACGTTCGGAGGCAATGTAAAAAAATTAGCCATATTCGAGAATCTATCCACCACAACAAACACATAAATCCTTGTTTTGTTGTCCTCGAAAAACCCAACACAAAATTCATGCTAACATCCATCCACGGGGCCTCTGATACTGTTAATAGAGTATATAATCCCGCAATTTTGCCCCCTGATTTTGGCCACATGGCAAGCTCTGCATTGCCCGACTAATCACTCCACATCTCTCATCACCCGGGGCCAAAAAAGTTGTTCTTGCATAGGTGCTAAAGCCTTGTCTCTGCCAAATGTCTTGTAAGTCCTCCACTGTGACTCTCCTGAGTTTGGACTCTCTTAACAAACATCGAGGAATACATAACCTGTTCTGGTGGAACAGATAACCATAGCCCCATGACACTGCAAGGTAGGCTTCTCCTGACACTGCTCCCATATCTCTCTGAAATCTTCATATGTCTAGTACAACTCCTTCACTACTTTGAATCCTACAACTCGAGTTTGCATAGATGTGATCATTAAATGACGACAGCTTAGTGCATCTGCTACTTGATTTTGGCTTCCCGCCTTATGCTTAAGCACGAACTAGAATGATGCTAGGAACTCTACTCAGGAAGCATGCCGACCTTTCAACTTATTGTAGATTATTCAAGAACCTCAAAGCCTCATGATCCGTGAAAAAAATAAACTCGCATGTCAGCAGTTAGTGACTTCAACAATTAAGAGCTCTCAAGACCGCATAAAACACTTTGTCGCACATCAAATACTTTCTCCTGGACTCATTTAGCTTCTCACTGAAGAAGGCTATGGGTAGCCTCCCTAGCTCAGTACTGCTCTGATACCCACATTTGAAGCACCACACTCCACCTCAAACAATTGACTGAAGTCCGATAATGCCAATATTGGTGCCCGAGTCACCTTCTTCTTCAGAGTACCAAACTTAAATTGAGTTGTCTTTGTCCACTGAAACTTCTCCTTTTTAATAGTTCTATCAGGGGAGCCGTGATGGTGCTGATTCTCCTGATGAACAGCCTGTAAAATGATGCTAGCCCAAAGATTTTCTTAATTTGATAAAGAGTGAGGGGGCAACCAATTCACAATTGCCACTACTATTGTATGGTTGATATACCAAAAATATATGCATTTTTAGACTCATATTTTATATTAATTTTTTGTTGATTTTATACTTTAATGGAAGATATTTTTCATGTTTTCTTGCAGGTTGTTGATTTTTAGAACTTGGATTTTTAGACAGGTTGTTGATTTTTAGAACTTGGAGCAAAAATGATGAAATTTAGAGTCAAAATGAAGAATATGAAAAATTTGTTCCGCGTCGACGGCGCCGTTTGACAGAGAACAACAAATTAAATAGAAAACTCCAGTGTCAATGCAGATACTGTTTCTAGAATATTCGACGAATTTAGACGCTTTTTAAAGAGTTTTTGGATACATCTATTGGATAACCGACTCTAGGCTTTATTTGGGGCCGAAATTGATTGGAAAAGTGACTCTTCATGACTTCTCATCGCCCAAAATTAAACCTTCTACGCACCACACACTCTATATTTCATTCCACAACCATTTAGAGTCCATTATTCTTATAATTTAGAGTTTTTGTGGTGAGATTGTGTGAATTCTTCTCTAAAAGTTGTTGGAGAATAACAAAATTAAGAGATTTCTTCTTCCTACATTTCCTAGGATATGCTACAATGAATTTGCTTTGAGAAAGAGTTTCAAATAAGTGTTGTTTGTTTAATAGTATTATATGAACTTTCTTTTACATATAAAATTTGTGTTTTGTTGTATCTTTCTTATGAAGTCTGAGTAGTTTCTTTTATCTTTCTCCGTACTCTGAGATATGATGAAATGAAGAATATAATATGGATGTGCCAATGTTAAAATATAAAATAAACTGTGATAGTTTTTCAACTCTGAACTTAATTTACTTTTCAATCTGACCAATTGAATTGTTAAAATTTGTTGTGAAACATATGATCCGGAAAATGGAGTATGAGTTCTACAACAGAGTGAGGATCACATTTGACTCCATGAAGGAGAATCTCGTTCATGAAATTAAGTGCAAATAAATAGGAAAATATATATTGTTGGGTGTAAAATTGAAAATTTTAGGGTGACAGACTAAAAAAACCCCAATTCGGTCTCAGTGTTTAAGAACTAAAGTGAGAGTTAGTCATCAGAGGAAGGGATGTGGGAGCTCTAGAGTGGGAGTCAGTATCCTCCTAACCTAGCCACAGATTTAGGGACTAAACCTGAAATTAACCAATGATTTTCTATAACACTGTATCAGGGTAGAAAATTAAAACTGTTCCTATTTGGCACAATACATATTCTGACCATTTATCTCATCTTATTTTTCCAAAATCTCATTGTAGTGAAAAAAATATTTTTTCACATAAAAAATCTTCGTCACATAAACATAGTTTAATAGTTTAGTAGTTTAATAGTTACTGTTTAGACTTTGCATTTCAGTTTTGTTAGTAGTTAAATAATTTAATTATGATAAGATTTCAACATTCAAAATTAGTGACAGTAATTTCGTTTTGCTTCCTGTGAATTTTCTAATTAATTTATCATTTCAAATTTAAACATTCCCCGTGGGATCGATATTTGGGGGCTTAAATAGAAAGTCCTTTATTACTTGATAACAATCCGTATAGTTGCGTGGAATCCCAACGTTAATTGCTTAAATTTCTTAATTATATATTGAGTATCAAGTTTTTGGTACCGTTACATAGAGGAGTTAACTTTATAATTTTTACACAACTATATTTCCCTGGGATCAAGTTTTTGGCGCCGTTGTCAGGGAAGGTAACGTAAATTAAATAGATTTGATAAATTATGAAATTTAGAGAGAGATATATATATTTATATAATCAAAATCAAAAAAATTAAAAAAACAAAAATAAAAAAAGAAATATATTTTTATTTAAGAGTTTATTTTTTAAGAAATTTTTCTTTGCGTATTATATTTGTTTATGCGAAATATTGGATCTAAAAGTTTAGTACCTTGCGATTCATAATTAGAAAGTACTATTAGAAAAATTCGAAAACAACAAAAAGAAATTAAAAATTTAAACAAAATAACTAATAACTTAGATAATCAAATAAATGAAAATCGACAAAAACCTTTGAAAGATTATGCTAATCCGACAGCAGATGAACTTCACTTAACTATTCAAAATCCTGATGTTATTGTTAATTCATTTGAGCATAAACCTGTTACTATCCAAATGGTACAAAATAATCAGTTTGAAGAAATACCTGCTGAAGATTTTAACTTACATCTTGCTAGTTTTCTTAAAATATGTATTAAAATATGTATTCCTTTTAAATATGACAGAGTGTCTAATGATGCTGTTAATCTTAGACTTTTTCTTTTTTTCATTAAGGGATAAAGTCAAAACTTGGTTAAATTCATTAGCACCTGGATCTATCAGAACTTGGTGAGAACTATCACAAAATTTATAGCTAAATATTTTCCACCCAAAAAAACTGTTGAGCTTAGAAATAATATTACATTTTTTTGTCAGTTTGAAGGGGAATCGATATATGAAGCTTGAGAAAGATTTAAAGATCTTTTTAGAAAATGTCCATACCATATTCTACCAGATTGGTTAATAATTCAAACATTTTATAATGGTTTATTTTACAATTGATTAGTAGATTAGTAGGATCACTTAGATCTATCATAGATGCTGCTACAGGTGGATCACTAATGTCAAAATCTTTTGATTAAGCATACTTTTTAATAAAAAAAATGACTACTAATAATTTTCAATGACCTTCTGAAAGGGAAAATCCTAAGAGAGTAGTTAGTATTCATGACTCTGATACAATATCTATTTTAGCATCTCAAATTGTTGTTATTTCGAAAAAAAATTAATTAAATTGGAGTGAACTATTCTCAAATACCCACAGTATTAGAGAAAAATTTGCTAGGACAGATAATTGATACTTATTCATTTTATAAAACTTTGAACGCTATAAATAATCGAAATAAC